GAAGCTACGAAGTTGTTTGCTTTAAGAATAAACCGACCGTTATAAGTGTATATCGGAATATATTATTTTAATTAGTATTCACATCGTTATATATGAATTTTCTTTTCCCCATTTTCGAATGATTTATATTTTCCACTTAATGATATTTTTTTCTTTTTTTTTCACAAGAAATAGATTAATAAAAGATTATTAATTAATCGTATTAATAAAATTTGAAAGAAAAGATTGCCAATGATAATTAATTGGGAGACACGTGTTCCGATGATGAATGTTTCATCAAAAAGGAGGATCCCTTTTCTGTACTTTGGTGGTCAGTCAGAATAATCAGCAGCAACGATATCGAGTGACCTCACCTTCCTTCCCTTTCATCCCGGAATTTCAGCGCGCTGTTAGTAAATTTCTCTCTCTCTCTCTCTCTCTCTCTCTCTTCGTAGTTAGGGTGAACCTTGACGGTAATAATTAACATCCTCATCATCGTGCCAGGAGGACGTTCAAACAGATTTCGTGACGGATAGACGCTCGGTGGTTATGGAAGCTGAAAGGTTTCTAGATGGTGTAGGTTGAGACATGTGCGCGCGCGCACACAGCGCATCAGAGATTAGAGAAGGATGGAAGAGAAACTGTATAATGAAGCAGGAAACCATCGAAGCTTTGCCATACGCGATAAAAGAGTATGCTTCTTCTGAATATATAATTCTGACCGATTCAAGGAGTTTTCCCTTTTAAAAAAATCATCTACGTGTTGCTTGCATGCCTAGGGAATTTTCGGGGTGCGAAGAAATATCAGCCCTGACGAACGACGCGATTCTGACGTAACACAGATGCCTTTTGTGATTCTCTTTACCTTTGATGAATCTTTCTTTTCCCCCATTTTTTCTCTCTGTTCTTTCAGAGAGCTTACTCTTTTTTCTTTTTTCTTCTTTTTTTTTTTTTTTTCATTGACATCTATATATCTACGATTTAAAGCTCAGAGACGGAGTCGAGTCGAGTCCAAGGTTATTGCTAACGTTTTACCTTCTTTTCAAAGAGTCGAGTGGACGTGTTTTCTTCTGAATGACCAAGCTTCTCCGAGTTAAATGGAACGTGGACAAACAACGTCGTGATAGCATGCGTAATGCTTGACCGTCTTGTTAAAGTTCTTATTAAACTCCAGTTTGAATGATGTCCTCGAATATCGTTTCTCGTGATACTAGAAAAGTTCCTTTTTCTTTTCTTTTTTTTTTTCTTTTTTCACAGTGTCAAGAGTCCTACTTCTCGTATTACGTAAACGTCATCGTATATTTTTTAACAAATAACTTATGAGAATTTTTTATATCTTATATGTGTTAGAAGATATAATTAAATGTTACCGTTTGGGATGAGCATAGAAAAATAAATAATAACAATGTTTCGTACGTGAGTATTACGTAGGTGTAATATTCCCATTATTTAATTACCATCTTCTTCCTTCAAAAGTAATCGCAATTAGGAAGAGATACAGTCGCGATACGAGTTCGTATGTTCATCAGGATTCCCTTTCAATTATCCTCCCCCATCCCCACCTCCAGCCCCCCGGGTAATTCGCGTAATTACAAAGGAGTCTGTTCTTAACCATCGCTAATATTCCTCCTCGACACCTGGTTGCCTTCTACAACAATCCTTTCCTGTCATTTAACGGTGCATTCAAACTAATTTATCTTGATTTATTCAAACGACTATCATTAACATCATCATCATCATCATCAATCTGATTAATCAGATCTAAAAGAATACTTTTCAAGAAATTCTTATATTAGTCCAAAAAAAAAAAGATAAAACAAACAAATTGTTGGTTAGGAATAAAAATAAAAATACGTGAAAAGAGCCAACAAGGGTTGGTTTGGGTTTATTCGACTAATCAGAAATACGGATTATGATATAGGAGAAATACCGTGAGAGAAATTGGTCAATCCCACCGGCTCGGTGCTAATAACCGAGGAACACGAAGACGGGTTATGACAGCCGGTGTCGTAGCCCGTTTGGCGGTGCGCAATTGTACGGGCGACATGTGCCATTGTTCAAACAGTTCGCTCTCTGCACCTTCTATTAGCACTGTGCTTCCTCTCTATCTAACACACATACATGGATACACACTCGTATCATCCCTTCTTGCCGAGGTGCTGACGTCTCTCTGAGTACAAACCAGCTATCACAGATATGCGCATACATACACGTATATCTAGTCTCATGTTAGCTTCTATCTACATATATGTATATATATATATACATACGTACATATATGCTAGTTTAGAATGAGAGAAAGAGGGGAGTGGGAAAGAGGGGACTGGGGAAGGGAGGTAAATGAAGAGATAGTCTCACACCTTATAGTTTGTTCATACGACTCGATTGCGAGAGAAGAAGTACTTATAGCTGACTAACATCTGGGCTTAGAATAGTTTGACCGTGGACCACTAAAACGTGACTTTACGCTGAGAGTGATAACGGTTATAAAGCCGAGCAGTTGGCCGATACTCGATCCTCGAAAATTCAACACGAAATATTTCTCTCAATATCTGTTATCCGCTAACGTTTGACTTTTATGACTTGCAATAATGTTTTGTTTATTTCTTGTTTCATGTATGTTTTTTTTTTTTTTTATTTTTTTTATTATATTTGTCGATACGAATCTCATGGTGTTCGTATCGATTTAAACGTAACTGATGTTTTTATTGGAACAGGAAAAAATGAATGATGGGTAACGATGGGAGAAAATAAAATTAGAGATCGAGGAAAAGCTTTACGATTTCACGATACTTTTTATTACTATATGACGTATCTTTTGAACACGTCAAAACGCGTAGAGTTTATTGGATATCATGGCACATTTGTTACTTTACAAACAACGTTCCAACTGCGATCTAGTATTATATAATATTGGACGTTTACGTTCGAAGAATATTATATACTGTAACGAAATATATCGTCTGTTTAAAGCTTCTGTATGCATAAAAAAAAAGAAAAGAAAAGAAAAGATAACAAAATCTATAAAGATACATCATGCGTGACAATTTATTGCACTGATCGTAAAATATTTCTTATTTCTTTTCATTTAATTTTTTAATATTAAACACGTCCAAACAAATTTTCCCCTTTGATTTTCATTTCGGTAATAAATTTTACAATGACAGTTAATCGTCACTAGTTCGACTTAGTCGCTGGAGTAAGTCCTCCACCTTTCTCTTAAAATTCCCGTTGGTCGTTGACTGTAGTCAATCACCGCGGGAGTCCTTACTGGCAGTAGACACCTGGTTAGGACATTGCAAGGATCGGTATTTTACTATCGACACGCTCGTAAACGTTAGACGGACGTACTTCCTGGGAATAAACTTGCGCTTACAAAGATTAGATATTCCTAACTCGAGTAAGAGGGTTTCTAAGGGGTCTCGAGAAACGTTGATAATCATCGATTACCTTTTATGTAAATTATTTATTACACAACGGTGTCGGATATCATCGAGTTCTGCTCGAATTTAATTAACATCTTTCAATTTTAACACGATTTAATTAAATTCGAACTAGTAGTTTCTCACGGTAGTTGAACAATTTTTTTTTTTTGCTTATTTTCTTTATCTTTTAAAGTATCTCGTTCTATAATTTAAATAAATTAAAAGATCGTTTAAAGGTATTATTTTAACCGTACGCTAATTATATACTTCTATCAATCTTGATTATCCATTGAATCACATGACACCTTTTACAAATGTTAGAAGGGTTAATGATTATGACAATGGTTTAACCATCATCTCTATTTCTCTTCTTTCTCCCTCGAATCTAAATTGATTCGATCGTTTCTCGTTTCATTTCTCCATCCCCCTTCCCCCCCCCCTCCTCCTCCTCCTTTAGATTCGAACACGTGCGAGCTACTACTAATCGATTCGATTCACGTTTATACTACGTCGAATCACCGTCCTCGAACACGAAGGAAATTCCCCGAGTCTCGGTCGTGCTCGAGGAGAGAAAGAAGGCTTTCACCGCAATTGATGCAATTTAAACTTTTTCTTTCCCTTAGAAACTATCCTTGTTTTAGCAATGCAGATGGTAGTTTGTTGAAGTGGTTCATGACTAGTTAAGATTATTTTCTTCGAGTTACAGTAAACTTTGAACACGTTGTAAATTTCCCGAAATGATTGAAATGTAATTGAATAAATCGTAGAAAAATTAGGAAAAAAAAAAAAAACAAAACAAACTATGACAAAATAATATAATACAAAAAATGTAAGACACACAATTATTTTCAATTTGTAAAAGAAAATAATTGAAAATTATTATTCGCAAAGTAGAACGCGCGATATGTTTTATAGAACAACGTGTATGAATAACACTCGAGATATTAATAATGTTGACAACGACATAATACGTAACGTACTTCAAAAATCTCGACGATTCAAACGAATGTGTTTTTTGATCTTTACTCGTTTCAATATACTCGAAATAGGAATATCATTTTATCCGGTGACTTCGATGCAGGGTTACCGTATCTCTCTACGGCTATTTAAAATCAATTCTTCGTCGTTGTTGTTGTTGTTGTTGTTGTTGACGTAAGAACGTGTTACATTGATATTTGCCTTATCTAAAAAGGTAGAAAGAAATAAAGAAAGAAATAAAAAGAAAAAGAAAATTCATTTTACATTACTCGATTTGAAAGCAAGCTCTTTTATTAGATACGCCCACGTTAGATACGTCCATATACCTATACACATATACTTACATGTAAACGTATATATAGATATATTTATGTGCAAATAGATATAGGTAATAAGAGTGAGAACGAACGGGTTATTTAAAGCCATGTTACTCGGAAAATTCGGGTAGATAAAGAAGGGTTACGCGTATGCGTAATATTCCGTGGTTGTAACATTAACCATAAAATGTGTATATATCCCATTGGAGTGGGAAAGGTCGGGGTGTGTGGGGGGGTTTAGCGTATATTGTCATGCAGCAAAAGACCATTAAACTATCGCAATATTTCCCTCGCGTTTCAGGTGATGATAACAACACGCTACGGTGGTTAAGGTGGCTTTCGAGGAGAACCTGAAAGTGGCGAGGATCGTGAAAATCGGCAAACGAGGGGGGCGATCCGGAGAGCGGTAGTGGCGGCGGAGCGGCAGGGGTAACGTATCTCTTTTAATTATCTTTAATTACTCTTCTCTAATGTTCCCTCTTAGAAATTTCATTATAATTATAACGATTGATATACGGTTTAAGCAGAAAAAAAAAAAAGAAAAAAAAAAGAAACAAAAATATTCATTCCCGTAAGCTCGTTAGAACGTTTATTGTTTGATAAATTTTTATTTTCCTTTTTTTTTAAATAATACATCATTAGGATATTGATATTGTATATTATTTTTTTCTTTTTTACAAGAATTTTGAATTATTTTACGTGAATTATATATATAATTGTCGTCGTTTATTATAATTTTTGGTTAAATAATAAAACTCGTGTTCGAGAGTGAGTAGAATGAATAATTTAACGTTGAACAATATCGTGTGACGATAGTATTTAATTCTTAAATACCAAAAAAAAAGTAATGTCTATATAGATTTGCGTAGACCGATCGGTATGTGTGTGTGTTATTTAAAATAGAAACGATTTCAACTGGTGAATCTCATTTTCCGATTGGAAAGTGAGACGATGAAGAAGATAAGATACGAGATGCTATCGACAATACCCATCGAATTTCGATGACTTTTAAGTGGAGTCGAATAAACTCGTTCGCGGGAAGACCATAAAAATCTTTCTTTAGTTTCGAATACCAGGATCGTTTGGCCTTCCATTCGATGCAGTCGATGCACTCCTACAGTCGGATAATAAAAGACCGATTATCCGATTTCATTTTCCTTTATCTATTCTGAGGTTGGTTGATCAACTTCCACCCCTTAATCCGACCACTCTACTCCACTTTCTTACTATATTTGATATTTTATGGGCCATTAATAAAATTCGATACGTTCAAAATATTTGATTAAGATTATTCTAATAAATAAAATTTGTTTATTAAAAGATATTTTCTTTTTCTTTTTTTAGGTGTAATTTATATTTCAAAATTATTAGGTCGTTAGAAACATTTTTTTCCCCTTCATTGTTCATATACGATATAATATATTATTTAATTTTAGTTTACTATGTTAAGTATGATCCATTCTGCTGTATTATTTTTCTGATTATAATATATTATATAAAAAATAAAATAATATATTTTCATTTTTGTACTTATGTGTGACCATTGCTAGCTTACTGAAATATATATTTTGATTATTCAATTAAACATCTAGTTAAAAAATAATTATATTATAATGTATTTAAATTATCATACCACATGAAATAATTCGTCTTCATATATACGGTACATTATTTAATAAAAATAAATAACATGAGATTAGACAAAAATTACAAAGAAAAGTAATAACTTGACTTTTTCTTTTCATATGCGATAAAAATTTAAGAGTAAATAAATAACGTTCGACATATACAACAAGCAATTTTTTCGTCGTGCTTACAATCCCCACCATGTATTCATATAATGGTATACGACCTAATCGAATTTTAGTAAACAAAGTCTCGTCAGTCTTGCTGACGAAGCAATACCGAACGGTCGAGTAAACGCGTTCTAAGTGTGTTCTTATCTTTACAAGAATCGTGTTTGTGATTGTAGATACTATGGGAGCGGGGGTATGGGGGGCGGAGGAGGGCTACAAGCCACGGACCTCCGGCGAAGGCTCGAGTCCCAATCTTGCGAACGAAATTTTTTTGAGAATCCTCCTTCTTTAAGACAAGAAGAAGATGGTTTCTACGTACCTGTTGAAAATGGCACTTGCGAGGATGAGGACAAGTAAGTATAGTGCAGAAAAAATATTATTCGATATAATGATTGTTACTTCTCTAAGATGGTAATCTCAAAGTAATCGATTAAATCGTTTTTTTTTATTTTATTATTATTGTATTTTTAATTAATATTTTAAACATAATTTCAACGCATCGAACATTTTCCATATTATACAATGAGAATTCTGTTATTATTTAATTAATATAAGAAACTGTAAATATATATATATATATATCAACACAGTTAACGATTATCCTAATGGATATTAATTAACAAACGTACACTTTGTCTCATGGAAATTAGCGAATATCGATAAAACGGGGTATTACCAATCGATATTACCGATCCTACGTTCTGCGTGACCACAAATCACCATGTTACTCGAGTCTGCGAAATCATGTTGAACGTTCAATTACAAAGGATACGAGAAAATTCATTTGCAGTTAGTTACAGAAATATTCAAAATGTGTTTTTGAAATTAAATAATTCTTTTCAAACCAAGTATGATTTATTTCATGAACTTTCAAATCGTAGAAAAATATTACGAATAATAATAATAATAATAAAAAGAAAAAAGAAGTCATTCGTAATATGTTTAATTAAATAATATCTAGAATTAATTCTAATCGTTGAATATGCATTTATTATTCATATATTCGCAAAAAAAATGTTCTATTTTTGTTTTTGATTTTTAAAGGGTTGAGTTCGGAGCGATTCTCGTTTCCGGTCAGCCAACGTGTACAGGTTCCCGGGCGTATAAACGTCAAGAGAAAGAGGAGGATACGGAAGAGATAAGAATTTTGAGGCGCGTAATAGGATCCGATGGATCCTTCCACGGGAAGCTGAGGTTTTCCACGAAGAGTTTCGACAGCATCGAGAATGAAGCGGAAGCGACGACGCAAGGGGAAGGGGAAGGTGAAAGGAAACAGCGACTACGATGGTGTCGCAGGGACTTCCGGCGGATTGCGGAAGTGGCGACAAGAACTTTGCTTTTGGGCATCGTGCTCCTCGTCACACCAGGTATGCCTTCATCGATTAATTCGACTAACAAATACCATCAAAGTTATTTTGTCGTGTGATTTTAAATCGTTTTTTTTAGATATTCATATGGTTGTTTTATATAGAGTTGTTATTATTAATAAAAAAAATAATTTAATTAAATGATATATTTTTAAATATCATAAATGTAAAATATAGCGATCTTACTTTAAGACAATTATATTATAATCAATAGAATAAATATAATTATTATGAGAATGATATAGATACAATAGGTATATATATATATACGATAGGGAATAGATATAAATACGTATCATCGATTAGTATCCATCTCGTTACATAATTTAGGTTTCTCTGACCAAACTGATAGCTACCCCATGGTCTCTCGAGTAGAACTGATAGATCGATTTCGAATTCAGTGTACTGTGCACAGATACGCTGAAATCGGAAACGTAACGATGTCAATTTAGAACTAGGTGACTTATAATTGTGGCTTGAGTATCAATCCAACAGTTTACTTATGTGTCCAATTAGACGATAATTAATTACAATTTAATCATGTATTCTGATTCACGATGTTAACCATCTACCTTAGAATTTAGTATCCTTTAATTGGAATACGATAGAGAAAATCGAACTTTTACGAAAGAAGATATTTGTTTCTTTTAAAAAATTCACGACACAAAGTTATACATGTTTTTTTTGGAAGGAATCACGACCGATAACCAAGAGACGAATCTTAACTTTTTCTGTTAATCGTTGGTGTTTCTAGAAAATTATTATAAGACTCGTTTAAAAAATACGACGACGGTACGGGCGAGTTCTTCACTTTTCCAAAACTCAAATGTATCTTTGCGGTAAAACGAGTGACGCGTTATACGAATTTCAATTAGAAAAAGCTTCCGTCCGACGATACACGCCCAAAAGCGTGAATGGGTCGTCTGTTGCCAAAAAAGAAAAGAAAAAGAGAAGGGAAAGAGAGGGATGGAGAAAGAGAGAGAGAGAGAGAGAGAGAGACAGAAATAACGAGACTTTGAACTCTTTTGCAGCGTTGAATTCGCTTTGATAACATCCGTACTAACCGGCGAAGCAGTTTTTCGGCTAGTCTGAACAATTTTCAAGAGGACTTTGTTTTTTTTTCTTTTTTATTTTTTTACTTCCTCCCTCTATTTCTCTCTCTCTCTATCTCTCCCTCTTTCCTTCTTTCTTTTTTTTCGTTCCCTTTTTTCGGATCTATCCTCAAAATCGGACGAGAAAATGACTTTCTTTCAACTACGTAACGATCGAACTGAAAAGACGTGATTTTCGCGTGTAACAGAATGTAAAGAATTTTAAATGTTAGTAAAGAAAGAAAAAAGAAAGTATGAAGGATGGAAAAAAACATAAAAAAATAAAAAAAGAATCGTTTAAAGATATCTTATTTTCCGAATGAAAGGGTTAATTTAAAAATCGAAGGTTTGTTAAATGCGAGTTACATTTTGATATTTAAACTCGACGATCGGCCGAGAATAATGAATTCTCGTCGTTTCTATTACTTCCATTTTCCATGATTAACGTAAGATATTTAATTAGAACGTGGATGATGTCTACCATTCTGTCCTTTTCTCTATCTCTTTCAAAGGGATTACTATTTTTAATTATCTTTATTAATAATCCTCTTTTATAACGTTGAGAAATCTCGCCTAATTGCAATTACATTTTCTCCAGAGGATTTTCCATTAGGCACGTTAACTTTGTTACGATTTCTCTCGAATTCGTGCTATTGTTTCGCATTTTCGAACGAATACGCGTTTCTAATTGGCAGAAATAGAAGAAGAAGAAGAAGAAGAATAAAAAAAAAATATCAACCGCTCGTTTTTCTACGTATAAATTAATTATAAATCTAATTATAATTATAAATATAATCGCAGACAATTACATTATGTTGAATAATAAAACTGAAAGAGCGTGTTAATAGTTTAAGTAACGAAATTAAAGAAAATTAAGTCGATACGATTATTTGGCCGTAAAAAATACCAAATAAAAAGTATCCATTTAACGGCTAGTGTTTTTCGAATATTTTTACCTGTATACGATTCATAATTATTGAATTTAATATTTCTTTAATATCTCTTGTAAAAGTACATAGATACTTTTGAAATGCATCAAAATGTCTGTCGTTTCATCTACTTATTTTCTTCTTTTTATTTATTTCTTCTTATTTTTTGTTTTTTTCTTTCTTTTTTTTTATTCATCCTCGTGTATGTTATTATACATAATTAACGTATTAACGCGCAAAAATCTAGACAGCGTCGCATTTGTTATCCCCGTTGGTATTATTAATGAGAAGAGTTTTACTAAAACTCTTTTAAAAAGAGATTATCTCATAATTATACGCTGTAAATAACAGATGGAAGAGAAGCGAATCTTCGTATACGGATGTTTATACGCGTGTACGTGCACGCATGTATTTAAGTTACGTGTACTTACGCATTTAAATATTATACACGCATTCAATCGAATTACACGAGTTTATTTTTCAGTTTTTAGCTGTTCTTTTTTCTTTTTTTTAATAATAAAATACATTTCAAAAGAATTACGAGTAAAATATATTATTATTATATATTCGATATTTCAACTGACAACTTTAATTACTTTCTGAACGTTTATATTATAAATTAATGTCTATTCGATAATATACGCGTCGCAAAGACTTAGCATAATAAAATTTGTCGCAATTACATGGTAATTATATTCCATTAGCTTTCTCGCGAATGTTCAGCAACGAATGGATTTGAAAGTCGGAGAAGCAAGCGTACGTCGAAACATTCTAATGAGGATATCTTTGCGTTTAAGTAGGCGACGTTTAACGATGCCACGAGAGCGCTTTATTTCAAAAACGGAATTTAAAGTCAAAGCAAAAATATCTACAACGTACATCTATCTACGTATGAGAAGAAATAATTTAATCGTACCTCTCGTAAAAGCAAAGAAATTTATTTTATATAAAATTAAAAAAAAAATAATGATAACAATTATAAAAACGATTCTCGATCTCTCGATCAAACCGATTTATTTATAATTCAAAAAAGAAATTAAACTCGTAAAACAAATCTCTTTCAATCGTTACGTGCAATATTTTCTACGAAGTTTGTTTTTTTTTTTTTAATACGATTTCCAATCAAAGGAGACACATTTCGATGACGATCCCATTAAATCCGATAACACCTTGTACATAATTTTACTTATTTTTCTTTTTATTTTTATTTCAAGATTCGAACGAATAGTACTTACTTTGGTAATTAAAACGACGGCAAAGTTCAACGTGAGAAGTTTCGAGCTTCCGTTCTCGATGGCAGACGTTTTTATAGCGTTCACGTTGTGCGCAAGAATAGTATTAAAAAATAATAATAGAAGAAGAAGAAGAAGAAGAAGAAGTAGACAGAAAGGGTGAGAACGAAATTACCGAGAAACGTTGTAAACGGTACAGAAGAAAAAGAGAGAGAGAGAGAGAGAAAACGATAGGGAAAGAGAAAAAAAGAAATTGAAGTGAACGGGAGGCGTGTAGCAAAAGAACAAGGAGAAGAAGAATAAGAAGAAGAAGAAAGAGAGTTTGGGGGGGGGAGGAGAGGGGGATGAAACGGAAAATACGAGAAAATGACGAAAAAAGAGAATAGCAAAATTAGCGGAAAAGTTGTTTAATATAGAAAGTTTCCTAAGTTGAGGGCATGGGCGTAAAGCGGCCATTGTGATCGCCGCTTGTGCGGCATTACTTTCCCTCCCTCCCCACCCCATCCCACTATCCCTTCACTTTCCAACCCCTAAACTCCCTTCCCCCCTCCCTGCTACCACGTCGTCACCGTTTTACCAAAACTTTGCCGCCTAACCCTCGTAATTTATTTATTTCCCAATTATTTTCAACCGGAAATTCACGAAGCGTCCTCCAACTTTTTTTTTTTTCCCGTTTGCTCAGTTCCATCCAATAATATCTTTTTAAATTAGCGTAATGTCGTCGATTCGAGTTACGTTTATCTTGAATGGGAAAAGATAAAATTAAAGACACATTTTTTTTTTTATTTAGAGAGAAAAAATTTAATATCCACACGTTTGTAAAAGTTATTCAACGATTAATGATAATTAAAGTTTTATAGTTGTAAGTAATAGGACGATAATAAAAAGATTGGAAAGAATTTTGTCTGTTTTTTTTTTTTTTTTTCTCGGAGAAATTAATAATAATAATTGAAATTGATTAAAAGAGAGCTTTGAAAATGACTAGTAAGATAAATTCGATTTTCTCTTTTAATGACTCTGCCATTACACGATCGTAAATTCTTTTTTTTTCTTTCTTTCTTTCTTTCCTCCCGTTCCCCTTTTGAATCTCTTAACAACGATCTTTACGAGAAGTTTACAACTTTTGAACGATATTCGTTGGAAACGGCAGCAACGCGTCGCTGCGTTTCACGACGAGTTAATATGAATCATCGTCGTCTTCTCGGTGTCATCGTTAATAGTGCAATTAATCATCGGAATAAAAGAACATGATCGTTTGTAAGAAAAATCCGATAATTTCAGCCTCTAACTTGCGATTTTATAGGACAATTATGGTCGTGGTCGTGATCATCGAACAGATGGCTAGCGAAACCGAACAATATTGCGCGCAGATGACGGTGTCCATAAGGATAATGACGAAGATAAATATCAGTCGTATCGAAATATATCATTGAAGTAGGATATTTAACGGAGGGTTGGGGGGGAGGGAAAGAATTAATTTATTTTATCGATATAGTCGTGGTCACAAGAAGAATTTATATTATATAAATCTTAGAGAGTAATATATATATAATTAATATTATAATATTAGTGTGAAGCAATATCATTGAGATATTTAGAATAATAAATCGAATAAAAAACTAATAACACGTTGTCGAGAAATACTCTGNTATATATATATATAATTTTCTCTCTCGAATTTATTTATTAATCTAACGGGTAATACGTATTTCGTAATAATATGTATTTTAATTTAATTAGATTCTAGTAATTTTCATCGTATTCTATTCTAGACTTGTAAAATATCCGCTTACCTCTTTCTAAATAATTAATATCAATTCTGGAGTCTTTAGAATATAAGGGTTGTAGAATACTCGTTAGTATCGGTTAATTGCTTTTAGCCCGGTTTCCTCGTGGTTCAACCGCGCGTAGAAGCATAGCGTTAGCAACGGCAAAAGCGAAGCAGCCTTAAACAGGTGCTTTAACTATTTAACTTACGCGAGGCTTGGTGTATTTGCGTGCGAAAGAGACTGAGAGGGGAAAAAGAGTGAGCGTGTAAAAGAGAGAGAGGGAGAGAGAGAGAGAGAGAGAGAGAGAGAGAAAGTGAGAGATCCGATGCAACGTCTCGTTAATTTCACGCTTCGTCGCTGCTTGAAAATTTGGCTGGTAAAATATTCGAGGGTATTTCTTGCCTCTTCTTCATTTTCTTCTTCTACTACTTCTTCTTCTACTACTGCTTCTACTTCTCTTTAAAAGCAATGGCAAAAAGAGAGAGAGAGAGAGAGAAAGAGATAGAGACGATGAACCGATGCTTGTGCATTTTACGTCGCGTACAACGTTACCGATAATATTCTCTCACGTTTCATTACAACGTCTTTGCGTTTGGTTAATTAACGACGAAGAAAAGCCTTATTTTACCGCAGCTTCCGTATTTTAATACATTCCGAAACGAACTTGCAAATTTCTATTTCAACGAAGCAAGCAAGTAACCAACCAACCAACTGTCCTAGAATAATCAACGATCAACGAATAAGATTACAAGTTGGTAATAACTACTTAAGTTTACACAATGGGTAGTTTCTCAAAGTGGCAAATCAAAAATGTATCCATCCCGTCATATATAATTAACTAGCAAGCGAAAGGTAGAGAAGTTGTTAGATGGTAGATACTCTCGTGTTTGGTAGTTCTCGTTAAAGAATTAATAGGATCGTTAAGCAACGTACACATTGCGTTCGTTTTTCGATTAGACAACGACAAACGAGATGGACGATACACGATGATGGCGTACGACTTTGAAGTATAGTCGATGGTAAAACAAACAAGGAAGGCAAACTAGCTAGCTAACAGAGATGGTAGTGGGCTTTGAGAAACAAGCGGACATCGGTTTTCGTATCTAAAAGGGAAAAGCAAAACTATTTGTAGAAAAGAGGAGGCGGAAGAGGAGAAGGAAAGTAGGGGAAAGTGGGAGGTAAACGCGAAAGCGATTTAAAGGACGTACCTACGTAATAGCTTCGATGTTACCTATGTACCAAACTTAGGATCTAGAGAAGCGTGGAATCTAACGGGGAATAAGTGGAAGAAGGATGGAAGACGTTCTTGGACGTAGGAAGCAGGTTCGGATGAAAGGTATTTCCAGTTGGCTTTCCACAAGCTTGCTCTTCACCGCAGAGTTATCTGATAGATCACCGTTCAAAGACGCGAGAAGCAAACGAGATCGACTATGGTAGTAGGATGTACCTTTACCACCTTACGATAGAAACTAACGCACTGATCAAACGTATTTTCTCTCTCTCTCTCTCTCTCTCTCTCTCTCTCTATTGGATGCCAGTCCTACCAGACGAGTAATCATTAATCTTCTAACCGAGTAATTGGTCAATTTGTCATTTAAGATGCTTTAATTGGCAACAAAACTGGATTTTGATTAATATGGTCAGACTCTCTGAAGGATTAAATATACTGAATTCAACTTCTGGGAAAAATCCAACGATAGAAAAAACTTTGTATATTGGAGGGATAAATATTTTATACATTTTAATGTCCCGTAGGGGGAATTTTTCTGTTCTTTTTGTTAAATAGTCTTTATCTTTACAATATTTTCTAACGCGTGACAGAAACGATAATTACGTCCTATATCTCTTCCCATTTTATTTTTTACCCTCTAACGAATATTATATTGTAATTATCGATTATTTATATAATATCGCATAAATGAAAAATAAGAATACAAATGTAAATTCTTATCTGAACGAGTTCGAGGATAATATTTATCGATCGTTCGTTTAGAAAATTAAATGATTATTATAGAATCGTATTTTGCGCGATATCATAATGCAGTAAAAACACGTGGAAAAATTTATGAGACATCGTTTAGTGTATATTCAAGGTAACGCGAGACGTCTACTACCATTTTGCATATTCGCGGAAGCTTCGTAGAAGGATCGATCGGACGAAGTTACTTCGTTGGAAATAATCGCATGCAAAATGCATCTTCAACCCAATCCTCTCCTCGGATTCTCTCAAACCCCTCAATCTTCACCGCGTCAACGTCAAAGGAAATGACACCGAAACGTCTGGGGTGAGGAGAGGGGGGAAGAGCTGTCTATTATTCAACTAATCGAAATCTACGTCGGCTCGTCGTGTCTTCGAAAGACACGTTCTTAAAATATATCAGGATTCTCTTTCTCAATTTATCTGTCCTATGAAGATTTTACAGGCTTTCGTGTATAACAGCTTTTCGAAAGTGTATGGATTGTAGGATAGAGTGAGTTGGGGTTGAAGGTAAAATGATGGGAGATGAGTACGCTTCGGTACGCATGCCGTTCGAAGTGAATCCTTTGATCGGAACTTTCGATGTGAGACACGTTTGTTTGGAAAGTTAGTCCCCGAACATTAAGCTACATCATAAGGCTAACGTTGTAAGTTACGTTCGTAAGCGGACAAAGGGTGGACTCTCTACATTTCCGGAAGCTATACCTATCCCTTTATGGAATCACAGGTAATAGCTTTAGGATGATAAAATTAATTTCGAAACAAACGATTTTTCTATTTCATTGAATTATTTTTTATTGTTATAGTAAATTGGTTCTATCAGATTTCATAAATTAAGTAAGGAAATTTAGAATGAAATAAATAAATACAAAGGATCGCGTAAAAATAAGACTAATGTTGGCTGTTGTTCTTGTTGCTGCTGCTGCTGCAGTTACTGTTACCGTGGCAGTTAAAAATTTAAGGTATTTTTTGTTTACAAGGAAAATAAGAAAGAAAGAAAGTAATTAATGTCTAGATTCGTTAGTTATCATTACCGCTAGAATAAATTCCACTAGTTTCTCGTGCTGGTGTATTGTATTTTCAAAAGAATTTCATCGAGTTCGTTTCTCTCTATTTCTCTTTTGGTACGAAACAACGATAAGTTTTACGTTTCGTATAACAGAGAGAGAGAAAGAGAGAAAGAGAACATGGATTCTCGCGTTTCTCTTGGCAATAGGCAACGGTGTAAAACTTCACGCGAGGAAACTTCGAAGAATGTATTTCCACCTGGACGTTTTAACTTGGAACATTCAAATTGCATTAAGTGCGCCAACCGAGTACGGGATTCAATTTATTCCTCTGACAAGCTTCTACCATCGTCGAAAGAACGTTCGAGATATTATGCTTAGGATGAGAAAAAAAGAGATTGAAAGAGAGAGAGAGAGAGAGAGAGAGAGAGAGAGAGAGAGACAGACAGACAGTTCCAAAGCGTAAAATAACAACGAACTGTGCAATATCGTAGATTTTGCACACCTGTCTATGGAATAACATATAAATTGCATTTATATAGAAAAATAATATATATCTGTCTTCTTGTGAGTATGCGCAAAAAGTGAACAGATACGTATTATACGATCATTACAAAAAAAAAAAATAAAAGGTAAAAAGAAAAAACAGAATTAAATATCCTTTAAAAGATAAAAACACAAAATATCTCTCTGACCGAATTTTTATATTGTATAAATGTTATTTAATTTTTTTTTTTCTTTTTTTATTATTGTGAAACATATTGGATTTCGTATTGGAATGAATTTTCCAATGGCATATAAATAATGGATTTGAAATATTTTGTTATTTTAATATTGAAAAATATCAAGAGATTGGTAGATAGGGAGGAAAAGAGTGAGGGGATGGATATGAGGAACACAGATATTGATTAAAATTTATTTTGTTTCAGGACTTTGTCATCAGGACGCGGTCCATATAACGGCTATATTGGGAGAGAGTGTTGTCTTCAACTGTCATGTAGAGTTCCCTGGTGAGCACCCAGTGCCCTACGTTCTTCAATGGGAGAAGAAGGTAGGCGACAAGGTACGATAACGTCGACACCCTCTGCTCTCTAATATCCGTGAGTTAAATACGTGGGCCCCGCTCGATTAAAACGAGCGTACTCCTGCTGCTAGAACGATTATCTCGCTTATTTTCATATTAATAAGATTACTTTTCCAAATTTCACAGGCTTTCATTGTGCTTCAACATTTCTAACAATTTCTCATTTTAAATATCGATTACATTCGAACCTTTTCCACCCATGTTATCGTTATAATTGTATAATTTCAATCGGAATTCATTCATTATTCGCATCGATTCATCCGTTCCAATCGAACATATTTCATTTTCTCCTATTTAAATTTATCAAACACCATTCATAGGATTTCTTTTCCTTTCTTTGATTTGTGTGATATTATTATTTTTTGTTTTGAACGAAACGATTGGGTCAACATTTAACTCGAATATTTCGTTAAATTGCTGCTTTCACGTATATTCGTATCCTTTTTCACGTCAACGCATGTTTCTTTAATAATCGATAAAAAAAATACTCTCTCCATCTTGTTCCTTTTTTGCATCGCGACGTTTTAGAATTTTTTATACGGACACTCGTTTAGAACAACGACGAGCAACATCATCGTCAATTATATATTCTTCTACACGCTTCTATGAATTCTTTCGATAGTTCATTTTTTCTTTCTTTTCTTTTTGTTTCTTCATCCTCTCTTTCCTTGCCTTTTTTCATCATCTTCTCTTCTAACGCGAGCTCTATTTTCATATATTACTTTCGATCGAAAAGTAACACATAACAAAGTAACGTATAACGGTGCTATCGATCTATCAAAAAGCGTTCGTCATTTAAACGTTTTTAGTACGAGAAAGAGAGAGAGAGAGAGAGAGAATAAAAAAGAAAAAAAAAAGAAATTTTATATACCTATACAAGTTAACAATTTCATCGGAAATATTTTTTCTCTTTTTGCGTTTGCCTTACTCGGGGAAAATTATTTTCGAATTACACGATCATTGAGCATTCGGAACATTGAAATCTTTCCCTTTCCCTCTCTCTCTCTCTCTCTCTCTCTCTCTCTCTCTCTCTCTCTCTCCTTTTTTTGTTTCCTATATTTTGTTGTTCCCCTTGTTTTTTTTTTCTTTTTTTCTTCTTCATTTGTTTCGTCGTTTTTTTTTCGAACTCTCTCGCGGAACACTCTCATAAGCTTCGTTTACATAAAAATTTACTGCCAGCTCTTTGGCCGGGGAAAAAAAAAAAAGAAAATATCGTAGCTTGCAATTTCGCTGCTCTTCTTTAATTTCTCGATTTAACGTTGCGTAATCGCCAAGTGGAGCGTGAACTGAAAATAGAGGAGGAAGATGAAGAGAGAGAAAGCATATATTCTGCCCGAGTAAATAGTATTCCTATGAGCTTTACGATCGAATCTTCCTCTTTTTTTTTATCCGAGCATGTACATACGTACGTATACTATACTAGTATACGTGTGTGTGTGTGTGTATCAATGCAATGACGTATCTGTTTATACGAATACACGTCTCGCGATACGGGCAGAGGTTGAATACGGGGGTTGATCGTTCACCCATGGGGACTTTTTCCAGTAGGCGAGCAACGAACAAGCTTTATAACAAGGCTACACGAGCTCTGCCGTTTCTGGCAAAAGCTTGCTATTGCTTTTGAAATACTTTGCTAATTAGTTCGAACCGTGGAAAAGCATTTCAACCTTCGTCCTCCAACCCACCCAACCAACGAACCAACCAACCAACCAACGACTTCCAATCCTCTGAATTACTATCATCCTTTCGTCTCTTTTCAATTTTTTTATTTCATTATTTTTTATTTTTTTTATTTTATTAAAACAATTACAAGCATTTCATTATAACATAATCCGTTTATGTGTATATATATATACAGTTTCTTCTTGTATTATTTTTCCCTATTATCTGATGATGGTTCTTTGTCGTTAACATGTATTCATCATAATTCATAAAACGATCAACTGGCAGCAAGGAGGATGCTCGAGGAGAGTAGGGCCCCGTTAAAATATATATATATTACATATATAATACGTATTTTCAAAGTTGCAAGAATTATTATAAAAGATTCGTATATACATATATCTATATTTTTATTGTATAATTAAAATAATTTGCTTTGACGCGACATTGTGTCAATTTCATTTAGCTTACGCGCTTTAATAATTTCTTAATTTTTCTTCTTTAATTTATGTTGGAAAATGAAAAGAACAAACGGCGAATTAGACGCGCCGTGTCCACGAAACTTCGTGAGACATTTTTCTTATATTTATTAATTAATTACGCAAAAAACAAAAAGAAAAAAAACAAAAAAAAAGAAACAAATTCTTGATTGATTTATTTCGATGAATTTTATTATTATTGTCCGAAAATAAAAAAAAAAAAGAAAGAAATATATATATATATTTATAAGAGTCTCGCGTATAAAATAATGTTCAATTAAGTTGTCTTACTTAGAATAAATGTGTATTATATTTTTCTATGAATTTTTGTTAAAACAATCCGGACTGGAGAGGGCAGAGCATACTTTCTTTGTATTTTTTTTTTCTTCTTCTTCTTCTTCTTCTTCTTCATTCGAAAAAAAAAAAGAACAAAAACAAAAAAACGACATTACATGCATAATCATCTATTTCAATCTTTCTATACTAATCCCTAGAAAAAAAAAATCGATGCTATTTAACTCTTTTAACTCTCTTAACTCCATTCATTTTCACTATCCGATTATCTTTAATACATGTGTACATTTATAAAATATGTTACTAATCGATAAATGGTGAGAACCATACAGAGATACACGTAGCTATATATATATTTAGTACAAGTTCGTTCGTGGATCCATTATAACAGGGATAAAAAGGGGATAAAAAGAAAAACACACAAAAAAAAGAAAAAAAGAAAAAGGAAACGAAAAAAGGGGGGCGTTGGAGAGGGGTTAAAACAAAAAGGAGAGAAAAAAACACGGGAATTGGAGACACGCTGATTGGGTCTAAATCGCGGCAAATTGATTTCGAATGTAAAAAGTCGCTTACGCGCGTTTGTTCTCTTCAAAACCATTTTCTCTAACTCTTTCTATCTCTCCCTCTCTCTCTCTCTCTCTCTCTCTCTCTCTCTCTCTCTCTCTCTCACACTCTCTTTACGGATAAAATAATCGGCCCTTTTAATCAGCCATACGCGCGTATCTCGCAACCTTTTAATCAGTGTTACTAGCTTTAAAAAGCTCGACTTATTCAATCGATCGTCGTCGTCGTCGTCGTCGTCGTATGCCGTGCTTGGATAAAAGAAAAAAAAGGTAAAGATAAAATAGGTGAAGTAGGGATAAAACAGATTTGATATCGGATACGTGTATATATATATATAAAGAGAGAGAGAGAGAGAATTCTGATGGTTTTTCGAACGCTCTGATCAATAGTATTCAGCTTGGAAAAACTTTTTTCTTCTCTCTTTTAACCCTCTACCCCCCTTATACTATTTTTTTTTTGCTTTTTCTCCTTTTGGCCTTTTTTTATTCGCGTCAAGCCTATTTCCGGGACCGATCCCACGAACGAACGAAACGTACGTATCAATCTTTTTCTTTTTCCCGTGGAAGGGTAGAAAATTCGTTGCATTTACCAAATAGGAAGTTAAAAGAGACAGCGAAGGAAAAAGAAAAAAAAAAAAGGGGAAAAGAGAGAGAGAGAGAGAGAGAGAAGGAAAGAAAGAAACACGTTACCCGTCAACGTCGACTGGATCTCATTTGTCAAAGGATAATTTAGAAAAACGATTGTTTAATTGTTTCAATTCAAATTGATGCGATCGTTTCTTTCGATCTTTTATTTTGACAATTGTACAAAAAAACAACACCAATAATAATTCGATCTGCTAGCACATTTTATTACAATTTCACATTTTAATATAAATGAATAAATAATGAATCATTTATTAAACGTTAAAGAATCGTCTGTTCGCATTCGAAACACATTGGTTGGTTGGTGTCCATTAGAAGAGTAAGAGAGAAAAAGAAATAGAAGGAGAGAGAGAGAGAGAGTGGGAGAGAGAGGGAGGAGTAAAATTTTTTAAATGTTTCTTCATTGTCGTACACGAGAAGGAAGCTTTCATCATTTTGCCGCGAAAGACCTATGACAGTTTTTCAATTCATCACATTTCCTTTGAACGGCGAGCTCGTCCATCACGAAATAATGCGGGCTAGTGCACTTTCCTGCTCTACCTTTTTTTCGCCCCCCCCAACCCCTATACACCCGTCACCCCATCATCCTACCACCCCGTAACCCTAGCTAGCTCTTGCTTCCTACACACTTTATCCCTACTGTTGTGTTTTTTTTTTATTTTTCTTCCTTCTCTCTCTTGACGGAGGCGGGTAATCGAAAAATCATGTCTCTGTCTTCTCTCTAACCACTTCTGCTGCTTTGCATGATTTGTTAACGCACGTGCCATCGACGGATCAATCAAAGAAGATATCAACCGTTCCAACTCAACGATGAAACAAAAAAAAAAAAAACAAACGATATTTCGTGTCTCGAAGAGTCACACAAGTTTAGAATTACGACGGTCTTTTACTTTGTTCTTTTATTTCTTTTTTATTTTTTTTTTTTTTGTATTTGAAATATTAAACAATAAGTCGCGAAGGGGTTGGAAGGGGGAGGGTTCGTTGAAGAATTATCTTTTAATATCCATTCATATTTCTTTTATTTAGATAATATGTAGATCGTATCTTTTCGCGTTATCCTTTATAATTTTAAGTTTATTTATTATTATTATTATTATTATTATCCTAGATGGCTGCTGTACGGTTGCATGTTAGAAAGTAATCCATTTGTATAGTAAGCGCGTGCTCGTGTAATTGAGTCACGTAAATCATAATTATCATGACGTACGAAATTTAAGCACGCCTATTGTACGATTATTATTAACATACCCAACAACCCCTCCGAGTAGTTTTGAAAGCACGACAACATATCGTAAAACACGTTCCGAAGTGTCAGTATGTTATACTATGTTACTCG